TGTCGCGGCCCGCGTGGCTGGGGCGCGGCGGCGGACGTGTCCGCCCCTGTCCGGACGTGTTCGGCGGCGGAGAGGGAGCGGGCTAGGGTTTCGGGATCCGGAAATTTCGGAGGGGTGCACATATTTATAGGGTAGAGGGAGTTAGGAGTGTCCAAATGAGGTGTAGTTTTCGCCCACACGATCGTGATCCGACGACGGAGAGCATGGAAGTGACTTAGATGGGTTATTGGGCTGTTTTGGAGGGGTGTTGGGCTGCAACCCAAAAGAGGCCCTTGTGGTTATGCGGTTAACCGTTGGAGTATCAAACGACCTCCAAATGGCACGAAACTTGACAGGCGGTCTACCGGTGCTATACCAGGGCCACTTGGCAAGGCTCGGTCCATTCCGAGAACGTTTAACACCTGCACACGAAAAGAGATAAAGAGGGGTGCGCCGGTGCAAGTGGGAGAGTTGGATTGCAAAACGGACAACGGGGAAAATGCTCGGATGCATGAGACGAACACGTATGCAAATGAGATGCACATGATGACATGATATGAGATGCATGACATGAATAAAATGCAAAACAAAAGACAAAACCCAACCACGGAGGGAATATCATAACACATAGCCAAAAATGGCAAGAGTTGGAGTTACAAAGATGGAAAGTTACAACAGGGGTGTTACAACCGCCTTACGGGTGGCCCACGAGAGCCCAGGCCGCGCCCAGGGGGGAGGGCGCCCCCCTGTCTCGTGGCCACCCCGGACACCGTTTTGCGTTGATTTTACTTCCCAAAAATCATAAATATTCCAAAAAAAATCTTCGTCCGTTTTTATCCCGTTTGGACTCCGTTTGATATTGGGTTTCCATGAAACAAAAAACATGCAACAGACAGGAACTAGCACTGGGCACTGGATCAATATGTTAGTCCCAAAAAATAGTATAAAAAGTTGCCAAAAGTATATAAAAGTTGAATAATATTGGCATGAAACAATTAAAAATTATAGATACGACGGAGACCTATCAGGTCCCGAACTGTGCGTCTGAGGATCAATGGTAACAAGGGACGATGGGGACATAATGTTTACCCAAGTTCGGGCCCTCTTAAAGGAGGTAAAACCCTACGTCCTGCTTGATTGTATTCAATGAGTATAGGGGTTACAAGAGTTGATCTACCTCAAGATCGTAATGGCTAAACCCTAGTTGTCTAGCCTCTGAATATTCTGAGAGCCTCTATGGACTAAGCCCTCCGGTTTATATACACATCGGAGGGGCCTAGGGTTGTACAGAGTCGGTTTGCGGGGGAAGGAAATAACATATCCAGACATCTAACTTTCTATCCATGCATATAGGAGTCCTACCGGAACATGGGGGGGGGGGGAGTCTTCTGCTTTTATCTTCACGACCCATCAGTCCGGCCCATATCAAGTAGTCCGGACACCCGAGGACCCCCTAATCCAGGACTCCCTCAATCTCCTATTCCACTGCACTCCTCTAAAGCCGCTTTGGGATATGCTCGGCAGCCTGCATGAAGGACGCACGGATAATCTCCTCCATATCTGGCAGGGGGCTACTTCGAATAAAGTCAGGTCCACAGTACTTCTTGCTGTCCTGTGGAACATTTGGAAATGACGCAATGCCAAAGTATTTCGACAATGCAACCAAGGCATTCATTGCATTATCAGAGAAGCGGCTGATGACCTTTCCCTCTGGGCCCATCGATGTAATATTCCTTCTAAAAAGGTCTTCTTCGAGACTGGGGCTCCATGTTGTATCACCTAGCCGCGAGATTGTAGCTTAATTACCTCTCTCTCCCCTTGTACCCCCCGCCCTTTATCCCCTATGCTGTTGTAATTGATTCTTGGTCATTAATATATGTTCAGGCCGGCGTAAGCCCGCCGTTGACGCGTCAAAAAAAACTCTCAAAGAATTCACTCGCAATGGAGGATGTACGCAAGCATAGAAAGATGTCACACCATGACTAGTGCTTCGTGTGTGGAGCTCAAGACTTGTGGAGACACAGTCTCCTAGAGTGCACCATGGCGCGTTGTGTATCGGTTCTAGTGGACCATGATTCGTTAGAGCATATGATTGCAACACCAGGGCCAGATGCTAGGAGCTGGCTCTTTTCAATGATGGATGTTCCAAGTCACGATGAGTTCACACGGATGACTGTGACCTTGTGGGCGATATGGTATGCAAGGAGAAAACTCATTCACGAAGGTATTAATCAGAGCCCCTATGAAACTCACACATTTGTTTCAAACTTCTTTTTTGAGTTGGATCAAATTTCGGTAATACCTAAGCCTACAACAAGAGCTGGTTCTACATGCAATAATGGCAACGACACTGGATCCCGCCTGATGAGGGACTAGTGAAGATAAATGTGGACGCCGGAGTTTCAGTGTAGCACAATGCAGGTACCGCAGCAGCCATCTGCCGTGATCGCGATGGTTCCTATCTTGGGTCGTCAGTGTTAGTTATCCAGGGCATAGCGGATCCAGCTAGTTTGGAAGCTTTAGCTTGCCGAGAAGCTCTTTCACTGGCGCAAGACTTGGGGATGCAGCATCTCCAAATCGCATCGGATTATAAACAGGTGGTGAACCATATTCGCCAGGGCATGGGAGGAAGCTACGGAAGTGTTATTAGAGAGATCCTAGAAACTGTTAGAAATTTTACTTTTTGTAATTTTGTTTTCAAACCTCAAGCTTCAGATATTGAAGCTCATAGGTTAGCTAGGTCAGGTACTTCTCTCCCTTATGGGCGCCATATTTGGTTGGGCACGTCAAGTGACCCAATCGCTTTTCCTATAAACATTGGTATTAATCAATAAGACCTAGCTTTCTTGCTAAAAAAAGCCAATCAGGTAAGAGGCCGCGAGGTGACATTCAACACTAAAAAAATTCAGCAAAGATCCAACGTCAACGAACACAAGGAATAGCAGTTTCACCACCATCCGATGGACCAAATCAATCGAAATCGAGGGAGCATCCTGGAGGTCAGGTGATCTGGAACTAATGGGCGACCACCCTGGCCACCCAAGCAACCTTATACTAGGTTAGAAAGAACTATTGGGCGACCACGCTGGCCACCTCGCAACTACAGTGTGCTCCTCCCTTGGCTTGTCCTCGGGGCAGGTCCTCGTCGTCGTCCCGGGGCCGGAGCTGGAGCCGGAGCTACGGATCTCCTCGATCCTCCTCACGACCTCCTCCATCCTCGGCCGCTGGTCGGGGTAAATGGTGACGCACGCCATGGCCACCTTGAGCAGCTGCACCATCTCGTTCTCGGTGTTGGGCTGCCTCTGCAGGTCCTCGGCGAACACCTCCGAGGTCCACTCCTCCCGGACCACGGCCAGCACCCACCTCGGGAGGTGCCCAACGTAACCGTCGCGGCTGGGGGACCAGAGGGGGTCCTTCCCTGTCAGCATCTCCAGTAGCAGCACGCCGAAGCTGTACACGTCCGACTTCTGGGTCGGCTTCTTGGCCTGCCGGACCTCCGGCGCGCGGTACCCGACGAGCCGCGGGTGGAACTGAAGGGGGGCCATGTGCTGCGAGAGGCCGAAGTCGGAGACGTGCGCGCTGAGATCCCGCGAGAGGAGGACGTTGCTCGACTTGATGTTGCCGTGGATGAACTTGCCGCCTGCTCCGGTGTGAAGATGAGCGATCGCTCGTGCGGCGCCGAGCGATATCTTCACTCTCGTCTCCCAGTCCAGTGGTGCTCTTCCATCAGATCTGTTCCCTGTGTTCACAATCGATGGTAAGTCGGTGATCATGTAACTTCATCGTTTCAATACATATGCGGTAGTACAAAGATGCAAGTTAACTATACAGGTGAAGAAAACCGGCACCTATTCTTTTCTACACATTTCAGCATCCATAGAAAAACAGTAGCTCAAAATTCTAAAAAATTGTAGCTACAAAACCACAAACAATTCCCTCTGAATGTTCATCAGAAATTCAGAAAAGAAGTAAAGGTCCTACACTAAACAAATAAATCAGTGTGGAAGGAACTTGTTGACTTCAGCTTGCACTGCCTCAAACTATCTTCCATTTTCCTTCAGCACCATTACGGCCGAGGGTCGAAAGGCAGCATATAAGGAATGTATAGTACAGTATTAATGCTGTATAATCTTCTTATCTAATTCAGAATAACCAACTCGGAATTTTGTATATCTAAGGAATTGTCTTCATCGTTCACTTCGGGATTCCAAAAGATTAACATAAAGGCGATCTCAGTTCTCTCCATGCCAGAATGCATAAATGGCACACTTACTTGGACTGCAGGTTCCTAATTATTTCAGGAACAATTTCACAGTGCTACAAATTTAAAGGCAATTTCTACCATAGAATTGCATGTACTTGTCATCGAAGTAATTGATGAAACACCACGTCAAAACAAGTTTCAAAATTCAAACAGGTAAATGAAATGCATACTTGCATAGTGGTTCAAATCAAAGACTTGAGATAAAGAGCATACCATGCAAAGCAGCTGAAAGGCTACCCGGTGTAACATAGTCATAGACCAAGAGCTTCTCGTCCTTGGAGTAATAGAAAGCACGCAAGGGAACAACACCCTGGTGCTGGCCAAGCCTGTCGATTATCTCCATTTGCTGTTTGAATTCCTTCTTTCCCGCCACCACCTCCTTCAGCCTCTTGACCACCACTGTCGTGCCATCCTCAAGACCAGCTTTGTAGGTCGGACCGTAGCTTCCTTTTCCAATGACTTCACCTGAAGCCCTCAACAGATCATCCAAGTCGAAATCATAAGAACAGCTCTCAAAGAAAACTAGCTTGTTCCTCTCTGCTTCTTGGATACCACTGCTGTATTCTGCTCTTCCTTTGCCTTTGGATGATGAAGCTCTTGGCTTGTTCCTCTCTGCTTCCTCAGGATCCCCACCTCCCTTCCTCTTGAAGCAGCATAGTACCAAGATTATCGCAATGACAACAATAACTAATAGCCCTCCTACAACAGCTGCTGCAATGACTATGGTCTTGGGACCATCTTTAGAATTCGGGGGAGGTGCTGCATTAGAAGGAGTAGAAAGTGTTGCTCCTGGACATGGTTCCAGGGGAAGCCCACATAGAAAAGCATTCCCCAAGAAAGAATTGGCTGGAAACTTCTGCAGAGCAGCTGGAATGGGCCCACTAAGGTTATTGTAGCTCAAATTCAAATACCTCAGTTTAGGGAGGTGAAGATCAGGGATGGGTCCAGAAAGTGAGTTGTTCTGGAGAGACAACCCAGTAAGCCCAGTCATATTCTACACTTTCAATGTGATTTCTCCGACAAATGAGTTGTACGACAGGTCGAGGAACGTTATTTTTGAAGCTAGGGAAGTAGGTATTGTGCCTGACAAGTTGTTGCGCTGAAGGTAGAGAGAGTGCAGATATGGAATGGATGCTACATCAGTGGGGAGGCCAGCAGTAAGACAATTGGACCGAAGGCTTAGCACCTCCAAGGCATCAAGCTTGCCAAGTATGTTGGAGGGCATAGGACCAAACAGTCCTACTGCAAGTAGTCGCAGCATACGAACACGCTTCCCGTCTGGTGTGCATGTAACCCCAACCCAGGATGTGCAGACCTGGGTTGTGAGGGACCAGTTTTTTTTTCTTGGATGAGGAAGATATGCAGAAAATTCCAGAAGGGTTTGTTTGTCAGAGTTGAGATCAGCTCCTTTGGCACAAGGAAGAAGCAGACCAGCAGAAAGAAAAGCTATGAGCACAAGATGTTCCATTGTTAGGATGACCAGAGAACAAGCAGAACCAGAATTATAATCCAAGGGTCATCAATGTTTCACTTCTGCTGCAGAAAAGGAAAAGAGTAAGTGACATTGGTTCTTATAACATCAATCAAGAGTCTAAACCATAGTAGGTGTATTATATGCTGCAGTACATAAGTGGAAAAACATAGATAGTAGAAGTAGTGTTATTCGTGACTAGCAAAAAGGCCCGTGCGTTGCAACGGGTTATACATATTTATCTCTGTCGAGTGCACCAGGTAACCATGTTGATTCTCTCAATCTTCTCGACCTAGTGGGCAATGTTAAAGCTTTGATGCTTGCCCTAAAGGGCAGCACTCATATTGTCAATCTACAAGTTTAAGGAGCAACAATCTCATAAAAAATCAACGAAAACATTACAAAATAATTTAAAACGCTCAAATTATGACTGACATATGGCATAATTCCGTAGTCCTAGATCACCGCAGATGTTACAAGCAAATGTTGATGATGTGTGTTTACACATGTTATTTGCACATCGATACTTACCAGAAATGTCTGGGTTCCCCATAAATAGTTCTGAATGAGAAGTTTGATTTGTTCCCTGCTCCATCGGCAACGCAATTACAATTAAATGCAGGGGGCACACAGTCAATGCATGTGTATGTCTTGTTACTGCAGCATGTGAAATTCCGCTACAGCTGACCTCCCTCTACTGAACTGTGATCTAGAGGCCTTAACAGAAACACCCCAATTTTAATTTAGATCTCCAGCTATTGGCTTATGCACTTGATCCAAATTGTGTGTGTTGTACAAACTGCAAGTAAATCAGATAAAAGCTTGTAAATGTGTGAGCCAAACTTGGCACCAATGCAAGTCCGGGTTCCCATGTAATGAACGAACCGATTACAGGTAAAAAAGAACAATGGCTAAACAAACTAAAAAATATGTTCTTAGCCTCAATATATCCCTGTCTTGTGTCTACCTTGCTTCTACTAATAGAAAACACTGTATGTGCCCCGAATGGTATCTAAGATACACAATTTCTTGTGTTCATATTTAGCTTGTTGAATTGTTTTCATGTAAACAATTCAGATGTGCACAAGGATCTTTTCCTAGAACGTCACCTATGGCAAAAGGATGCATCAGAGAGCTACGATTTATTCTCCCATCACCATGCTCGTGCAAGGAACACTATGCTTGCACATAATAAGCAGAATAAGCAGATAGCAAATCACGGTCGTCCACACTCCCAAGAGTAAGCAAGCAGTAAATTAGACCAAACAATCTACTAATAATAAATTAGCCAGATTGGCCATGAATACAAACATGGGAGCCCCGCCCAATGTCAAAAGTATGCAATCGGAGAACTATGATTATTCGCTCATCATCATGCCCGTGCAAGGAACACTATGCTTGCACATAATATGTAGAATAAGCACAAAGCAAATCACAGTCATCCACACTCCCAAGAGTAAGCAGACAATACATTAGATCAAATAATCTACACATCATAAATTAGCAAAATCGGCATGAATAGTTTCACGGGAGCCCTGCTTTAGATAGAGCAAATAATTTATCCAAAGGGTAGCAGTGCGCAAAATGACTCACAAGAAAAGTTTAAAATTGCATTAGAATCTGCAGAGACAAAAGGATGTGAACTAAATAGTCGAATCATACTGCAAAGGCATAAACTTTGGATCAAGATTGAACATGTAGTTACTCATAGATTCAAAGATATCTATATTTATCTGAAACAAAATACCTACAATAACAAAGAAGATAGCCAATCCCTACACACAATTCAGATTCATTCTAGTCCCCGATACATGTCACAGCCACTCCACGCAGAAACCCAAACGCTATCAATCCACACCAGCTCTTTCAGGGAACCCCCTAGCCATCAGGAAGCATCCTTGATTCATAGAACCCACGCTCTAATCAGTTTATAAAACCAGACAGAGCTCTAGCACGCACACGACAATGCCTATATATATGTAGGGGTTCAGGCATGCATACCCTTGGGTTTCTTGCGGAGGAGGAGGAATCCGGCGCTGGCGGTCACTACGATCATTACGGCCACCATTGTCTCCGTGCTCCAGCCCTGCAGGATGGTGGCGCAGGTGGCGGGGATCGAGCGAGGCTCGCGTGCCGTCTCCCGGGAGCGCTATAGGGGAGCAATCGGCAATGCTAGGTTCGACGGGGTTTTTTACGGGAGCAACGGACAGGCTACCGTGGAGACTTGGGATTGAAAGTTCGGGATGAGATGGGCCCCACACCACTGGAAATCAGGAGGTGGGTGGCGTCGGGATTCCACACAGGGATAGTGACAAGGCGGGATTCCAACAGGACTTGCAATGGATAAAGGAAAGCCACAGCACACTGGTGAACTCCTTGGCTGCACTGATGGAATGGAACATGCACAAAAGCAACAATGCAGAGCACCTAACCAGCTAGGCTACATGTAATTTTCTCAAGGACCAAGCTAGCGCTTTGAAAGAAAGCAGCAGCACCGAACCAAAAGTCCAGCACATAAAGCAGGTGGTCTCAGATGCGAGCGGGGATGAGGATTCCTTTTTTTCATGGTTTTGGGGGGGAGGCGTGGGGCTCTCTGCGGATTAATGGACGGATGTACCATGTCCATGTGTGTGATCATGGGCAGCACGACACACGAGCTGGCACGATGGTAGAGCAGGGCATCTCAGGCTTCACGCCATGGGACAAATGCGCAAAGCAAGAGAATTCAGCCAGCAACCTTGCCTGATTTGGGTTAACATTTATAGGCACTAGGCATGCTTTATGAAAATTAACCTTCAGCCCAGTGGCCTGTTGGAAGACCAATAAAATCTTCTTGATCACACCAGCTGGTGAAAAGAAGCTTCAACGATAAGCAAAGTGTCATCGGCGTATTGCACAACTGGAAGTCATGCCCAGGAAAAAGCAGAACTCCTTCAGCAATTTTTTTGTTGATCAATGTCTGCAAAAGGTCAACTGCAATGGCAAAAGGCAAAGGTGATAACGGATCTCCCTGCCTGACCTCACGTTTGCAGGTAAAGGTTTTGCCTGACACTCCATTTAACAGAACAACCAAAGAAGCAGTCGAGAAAATCATACCAATCCATTTCAACCAAGTACTGTCAAAACCCTTCTTCTCCAAAATTTGTAAAATAGGTTTATGCTCAACCCAATCGAATGCCTTCTCGAAATCCAATTTTAATATTACTGCCTCCTTGCCAGATGTTTTACAATGGTGCGAGTACTCAAACGACCAAGCCAGACAATCATGGATTGTGCGAGATTTAATAAACCCATATTGATGAGTATGAAAGAGAAAAAGATTTAGCTTAGCCTATCAGCAAGCAATTTAGTTAATAATTTTAGACAAGAGTTGAGAAGGGAAATAGGACGGAAGTCATTAGGGGTCTCAGGGCAAGCCTTCTTCAGAATCAGAGTTATAATTGATGCATTTACGCTGGTCAGATCCACTTTCCCTTGATGGAAATCTTTACTTTTTTTTGCGGGGGTGATGGAAATCTTTACAAAGCTTGTAAAAATCATGCTTTTCCAAGTTGAGAACCACATGAATTAGATCAAGCACTTCCTGTGAGACCGATACTTGGAAAGCCTTTAAGGATAGGCTTGGCCAACATATTTATTCCTATTCTCAGCATATCTATAAAAATTGAAGTCTCCCAAGAAGAGCCAGAGCTCCTCATCTGGTATGATCAGATCAGCAAGCCACTGCACAAATTCAGACCTCCTTGGTTCAACACATGGGCATACACATTCACTAGTGTCCACTTTTCAGCTGAAGCAGTAGATTGAAATTCAATTACGATGCCGAATGATTCCTGCTTAATAATCATGCCCGTAAATAAGCGACTGTTCCAAAGGACCAAAAGTCCACCAGAAGCCCCAATAAAAGAACACGGGCGAAGTGATCAAGGCGCCGAGGAGCGATATTACGGATAAAACTGAAATCAAACAAAGACTTTTTCGTCTCCTGAAGGCAAAAAACAGAGGCAGCACTTTCCTCAATCTTATTCTTAATCGAGTTCCATTTAGTTCCAGCATTAAGACCACATACATTCCAACCTAAGATGTTCCAGACGACAGATGACAGATGACATGACACGCAAAGTAAAAGACAGACCAGACTAACAGACTGACAGAAATGACCAACTGGCACAACAAACTAACTGACAGACAGAAAAAAACTACTTGCGAAGAAGCATTTCTTCAGAGAGATCCTTAGGATCAATGTCGCAAAGATCCACCCCCATCCTCTGCATTGTAGCAATCTGGAGCATGGCTGGTGCAGAAGCAAGAGGTATCAGGTATAGCAGATTTTTTGCGACGGGAAGTGCCATCCAGGGGCGAGAGGCAACTCCTCAAAGCCCTCCTTATCACTTCTTAGACCACGTCTTAGTTCAGTAGTAACCAGAGGAGTGGGCATCTTAGCACGCTTACCCTTCTGACGAACCGCAGCAGCAGGCACCAGCTGCTTCATCTGCATGTCCATGTCCTTGCCAACAGTC